GTCCTTATTATCTAAGGTATAAAGCCTAGTGTACAGAAAAATTAACAAGTGATTCACAGCGAGAACGCAAGGCAACTATCTTCACTCAGTTTTGAACTTTTAGGAGGTATATATCAAGAGGATTGTGGAGATTCCTGCGCTTTTAATAGCAATTTTCATACTCCTGGGAATGCTCTCTATTGAGTTTTCTATGATTTCGCTTGGAATATTACCCCATTATAATTTTGCTGACCTTCAAAGCTCTTCCATGTTACTGGAGCTCGCTTGTGCTATGCTAATCCTCTCTTGACCACAGCGCTAAATTTTTCGATAGCTTTGAGGTCTGGGATTTGTGCTGGCCATCATGTTAGATGTTTTTCTTGGCGGAGATCCAAAGGATTCTGAAAATACTCAACAACGCCGTCTGCTTGGGCAAAATTTTCTTGTAATGAAGTGGCCAGCACAAATCCCAGACCTCAACGCCATCGAAAAATTGAGCGCTGTGGTCAAGAGAGGATTAGCATAGCACAAGCGAGCTCCGAGTAACATCATTTTAGGTAACAAGTAATTTTTAGCAAAAAAACCGACTTCAAAACTCATATAAAAAAATATATATACATATATAATAGTGAACCCGCATGGCGTAAAAAGCCAACATTTAATTAAATTTTTTAAACAGGTGAAACCCTATTCAATAACCTCTAAAAATATTCCTAATGCTTAATCTAAACCATTTCTCAGTGGTGCTTCTAAAGTTTACGACAAACAACAATACGACACCGTTGTGAATCCCCCAATAATTACTTGAAGCTCTTTCATTTGACATCCATCGCTCATATTTCATATAACTTGGGTATAAAATAGTTCAATTAGACTTCTTAAATAGGTGGCAACCCTATTCAAAATATTATCAAACTACTACCTTCTTAAACCTCTTTTATATGACACCCATATAGCGATACCTTACTCACTTACCAAATTCCTTTACATAATTAAAATTGAATAACATTTTTTTACATGTAGCGAACCTCCTATACGAAGTTAGGTTGTAAAGCCTTTTCAAAACCATTACAAAACCATTTCGATTGCTACCCATATTTAATAATTGATTTAACATATTAATTAATTTGAGTTTAATTTCTTAACAGGTGGCAACTTTTTTCGAAAAAGTAAAACCTTCTTGAACATCCACACCCTATGCCCTTTAATTTGGTACCTCACTTTTGAAAATCGAACGGACGGTGCAGATATGAGGGCATTGATTAGTAAATAACTGGAATATAATTATTTAACAGGTGGCAACTCCTTTCGAAAAAAAAAAACCAGTTTGCACATCCACAGGCGAAGCGCTTTAATTTGACACCCCGAACGAACGGTGCAGATCTTTTATGCTACACAAAAAATGCCTTCGCGTATTATATATGGATATAGATATGTCTCATGATTCACTGATCGGATGTTAACCAGATTAGTATGGGACCACCTCGGAGGTACTACCTTTCCGATGCGAAAATAATTATCGGTTGACGTGGTCCAAAGTTATGCGGTAACATACATACAAAAAAAAATAAAAAAATAAATATTCCGACCAACTGATAACCTCCTCCTTTTTTGGAAGTCGGTTAAAAACGCAAATCATCTCTTGCCATGATAATTCAAAAATTCAAAAGAAAACTTTGAAAAAATGTTGCATTCCTTCATCTTAGGTAAAAATTACATAGGAATATATGTGGGTCCAGCCAGACCTATGTGTTACGAATGTGATGTATTAATCAACATCTCTATATATCTAGCTTTATATATATGATACCAACACGACTTTTTACAGATTGGTAATTCACTAATCTTTATTAAGCTACCTGAAATTTCAAGCCTCTAGCTATATTTAAAGAACCCTTTTTTGTAATTTGAAAATGGAAAAGGCCTGACTGGACTCATGTGTCAGACGAAGGGTTAAACATCATAAATCGTGAAGTGCAAGTGCGGCAACGCCACGTTTCACCAACAGCACCAGGATTTAAAACACTGTTAAAGTTATGTGGAATTGTTGAAATATAAAATAAATTCAAATAGAATAAACTGAAAATATATTAAAACCGATGTAAATATAATATGGTACATAGCCTGGTACCAACGGCTTTTGCAAATACAAAAGGTGGCCAAAAAAGTCACAACCCTTCTGTCTATCATGTATTCTGTCGCATAAGCGTAGTAAGAATCGTCATCTTTAGTGCTGAATTTCTCGCACGTTACTACGGTCAAAAGCAAACGAGTTTGACTTTCAAACGATGCGTGCGATGCGGGGACGTCGCAATGCACGCATTATCGCAAAATCGTGCCTACGCTGGACATCTACATTTGCCAACATATGTTTGGTTTTGTAATCTGCCCGCATTTAACGCACCGCGCCGCCTGCACCGCATATCTCGTGTCTACGGTGGACACGGCATAACTCTCTGATACAATTTTCGGGCGTTTTGACCAGTTATTCTTTCGGACTCGTTGTAATCCGACTACTTCTTCGGCGGCGGTACTTAATGAGCGGGGAATGTCTTTCCACTGCTCGCATATGGCAATTTGTCGAAGAGTGCTCTCAGAGCACAGGTGTGAGAGTTGAGTGCCGAATAACCTGGCCATCTGTTATGATCGCAGCTTTTCGACGTTAAGGTTTTTCTGCATTGTTGGGTGCACATATTTTGCTGCACAGAGGCGGGATTTCATCCGAGGCATATTTTTATTTTGTATTAGTCGGGACTTAAATTTGGCGGACCCAAGCCCAGCGCACGTGACGTTTTACGCCTTCTCACTTTAGCTCGCTCCCAAACGGATGTTCGGTAGCTACCCAGAGGATATGTGGATATAAATATCCGGGCGTAGTGAGTTGTGATTTGAACCGCACGCAAAAGAATCACTTCTGGCCACACCCAGGTGAATGACAGTCAAAAGCTTTTCCCACTTACGTGAACTTCTTCGCACGTAACCGTTGTACTGTATGCGTCTTCTACACTAATTTAATTGCTATTATTCCGAAAATACAATAGCGCAGTGGCAGTGGCAGTGACAGTTTTTAAAATCAGCTGTTACTGATAATATTGGCAGTCACTGCCGCAGCAAACACAATACGACGTTGTCAGTGAGTGCTTTATTTGACATTCCCTTTTGTTTGATTAATTTTTTTTTGTGTTTTAGGCTTCAGTGATAGAAACAAAAATTGGCTGCGGTTCATAAATGTCAAATGTGCGAAGTTTGCTGCGATGAAGACAGTGGCAGTGAATTTAGAAAATGCGCTTAATTTGGCAGTACTGCTTAATGACGCTGCTGCTATGTAAAGGCCCGTTCACATACAACTTTGGCTTTACGTTAGCGCTGGCGCCGCACAGTGGGACGTCCCCATATAAGCTGCAGCCAAACGTAGTAATTGTACTAGAAATTCGCTGAAATTTCGTATATGCGCGGTTCGGCTCCTAAGAATGAAGAAATGTGGAAAATGGTAAAATTCAACGCGCTACCACGCCCACAGCTTTTGTGGGCAGAAATAGTAAATGTTATCTGATTTTGATGAAATTCAGAGCATATGCTGGTTTTAACAAGAAAAGCGTAAATCTGAAAGATCGTAAAAATCGGTTTAGAAAATCAGGCGCAAATTAAAAAAAAATCTTTTTTGATGAAATTCGGTGTGCCCTGCTCGTTTAAGCCAAAATTTTCCAACTTGGAAGATAATAAAGAATTTCTTATTATGGCGCCCATCTCCGACTTACGCTTAAACGCTTAGTTGTAGACAAAAGTCATTCAATTATTCGAATTTTTTTTTATTAACTGAAAGTTATTTTCGAGATAACTAACAACACTGGACAAAAAATTTTAGCCCTCTTTTTAAATAAATTATATTCCATAATACTGACGCAACTGGTACGTGATGACTCGGCGATATGCCCATAAAACCATTGCTCTTTTCATTGTATTAGTTTCTTGACCATATCAAATATTATCTGAAACGTCAACTATAATTAAATTATTTTCTTCTTATATTACGTTCAAATCGGCCCCCATTTAACTTGTTAAATGAAAAAGAGCTTTTTGGAAAACACAATCGTCCACATTGAACATTTGGAGTTAACTTTGACGGTTGTTTGATTACCAATAAAAATTCGAAAAAAAAAAATTCAAAATCAAGTTTTTGTGGTTCAGTTTGTTTTATGCGAATGTCTGCTTCATGATATTAATGCATACGGATCATTTAGATACGTCAAAATGTTTAGTTCGTATGCCCTATTTGTCTCTGCGTACGACGAGACCTGATGGGAAATAACTAATTACCGCCTTGGCCTCTTTTTTGGCAGGCAGACATGCATACAATTTTGATATTTTTTGATAATTTTTAATTTTTAATATTTTTCAGAATATAAATTTTTTGAACGGTGGCGTGTCAAGTGAAAGCTTTCGGGTCTTTCTGATTGGTCGGAGCAAAAAGCTTTCTGATACAACTCTGCGCTGAACTGGTTTTCAAACGAGTTAAATGATTTAACTGGTTCAATTTTCCAACAACAATTGCATGCGATTTAACTTGTTTATGAACATGTTTTGATCATTTAACTGGTTCAAGCCCATTTAACACGTTTAGCTCGTCAATTTGAACGTAGTATTACTTTTCATAGTACTGTTTAAGGAAGTTCCCAAGTTATGTAAAAACCTTAAAAAAATCCTAATGTATTTCGCGTGAGTAAAATAATATTACACAAAAAAATACATGGCGTAAAATTGCCGAACACTGAGTAACCGAGTAACAAGTTCGGTGAAAATACCTCTAATACAAATTTTTATAATCAGAATTGAAAATTCAGTAAAAATCAGTACAAATTTAAAAAAATCAGGACATTAGCGTACTGATTGAAGAAATAAATAAAATCAGTACGAGAGTTAAAAAATCAGTACTGTACTGATAAAATCAGTACGGCTGGCATTCGTTTTTAAGACTGTAAAGAGGGAAGCAACAAATAACAAAGGCTCTCAAGTTAACTTACCCAAAGTTTGTTTTCCATTTAGGGTACGCCCATTCATTTTGTAATTCCCATATTGTCGTTCGATGCATTCTGTTTTCTCGTTGAACCTTTCGATGCTCTTATTGTCCCACCATCGATGTATGTTGCCAAACTTATCATATTCGCGTCCTTGGTCATCAAACGCATGCGTTAGCTCGTGACCCATAACAACGCCCATTGCGCCGAAGTTTAGACTCTTCGGATTGTTGGTGTCGTAAAATGGTGATTGCAGTATTCCAGCTGGAAACACAATTTGATTTTTCGTGGGCGTATAGTAGGCGTTCACCATTTGAGGAGTCATGCCCCAATGAGTTTTGTTCACAGGCTGATCTAGCTTTTCCAAGTTGGTTCTTAAATTATACATTGCAACCTGAATATTGTTTTCGAAATATTTGTTTGGCACAATTTTCAAGTCTTCATATTTCTTATCCAACTCTTTTGGGTTGAGAATGTAGTCAGGGAATCCAATCATGTCTGTTATTGCATTGGCTTTATCGATTGCTCGTTCACGAGTACCCCTGTCCATCCATGTGAGGTTATGTAAATTTTCTTTAAAAGCTTCGCGAATTTCGTTGATCATTTGTTCGGCTTCTGGTTTAGACTCGCCATGAAAAGCTTGACGCACGAAAATGGCCCCAACTGCAAAACCAATGACGTTATTTGTATCTGCCACGCAATATCGCCATATCTCTTCGCCTCCATCTGAGCCCATTAGAGCCTTGCGTACGCTTTTATAAGCGTCTCGAAACGGCTTTGACAAGCAAGACGTCAGTGTTCGTACCGCTTGCCACACCAAGTAATTATTAAGAGTTCTATATTCGAATAGAAAAATAAATAATCTTGATTCTTTGATTCTATACCAAATTACAGCTACATATAAGTATTAGACTGCATTACAAAAAAGTTGCGGGTTTTCCGCCGGGATTACAAAATTTGTTATATTTTAAGACGTCCACCAAAATATTTCGGAAAAATATTAAGATTTAAGCAAGCTGGACCGATTTGAAAATACCTCCAAAAATTGAGTTTTTTTATGAATAAAAATAGTTTCTCATAGAACTTTTTGAAAAAAGTCCGCTCAGATGACAAAACAGATTAAGCTCAAAAAATCCGCATAAAAATATTTAAAAATCTTTTTAACGGAATCGTAATCATGAGATTTTAGATGCTGTTTTTTTTTACTTTTTTCAAAGATTGATTTAAGAAAAACTTAATTAACTGGGCCAAAGCTATTCTGATTTAGACTTATGTGATCTAGATAGAAAGGTATTTTCCCTATATTTTTATTTATGTGCAAAAAAATCATTCGTGTCCCAATTTTTTTTTCCAAATAACAACACATCTTAATTCAACTTTGAATGATGTTCGTTCATCCTACCTTTCTCTTTCATCCTTATCAGCAAAGAAATAAAAAGTGTAAGAAAATACCTTTCCAATGATATCTCACAAGTCTAAATCGGAAGAGTTTAGGGTCAGTTATTCAAGTTTTTCTTATACCAATCTTTGAAAAAAGTTAAAAAAACAGCATCAAAAGTCTCATTATTACAATTCCGTTCAAATTTTTTTTATTTTTTAAAAATATCTTTATGTAAATTTTGTAAGCTTAAATCGTTTTGTCATTTGAGGGGATTTTTTCAAAAAAAAATCTTTAATAAACTATTTTTATTCATAAAAAACTCCATTTTTGGAGGTATTTTCAAATCGGTCCAGATATAATAGCTTTTATAATTCCAATGCAAAAACAGTACCGATTTTTTTTTTGTATGGGGAGTGATGCAGTCTAATAAGTATGTATATGTGGTGGGGGCCCAATCAGTTATGGGATAAAAGAATATCTTTGATTTTATGTTATTTGATAAAAATACAAGAAAAATTGTACATATATTTTTCAGACAAATTATACCAGAAAAACTGAGATAAATATTTTTTTTGCAAAAAATAAAGGCATTGGCTAATAAGAAATAAACTAAAGATCAAAATTAAATAAAAAAATCTCGAATATTTAGTTTTATATCCCATAAAATTTTAGTGTAATAATGTGTAAATTTGAAGTAGCAAAAAATTGCAGTTGTTTTTTAATAATTATTGCTGACGGCCGAAATCTGGCTGTAGCTTGTTTTTTATTCGGACAATCAAACTACATATATTACTTATCATAACTTTGCGACACTCACATATTGATAAGGTTTGACTCTTGAATTTATTATTTATATATTATTACAAATTTCGAGTTATTTAATTAAATTTCTTAGAAATAATTTACTTACAGACTTACGGGTGATGTCACAGTGATAGTTTTTTTCAAACATTTTCAAAGACATGGCTGGACGTTTTCGCCCTATTTCGGGCATCGGGAATCAAACTGCATCATTCGTTTTTTAAGTTTTCTGCACGTTTTCATACAACTTTTTATTTTGAAAATTTTGCCTCCAATGGAAATTTTTCAGGTGTTATGCAATATTTTATGGCTTCTTACTTTTACCTGGTTGGCTTAAAACTTAAAAAACTAATGATGCAGTTCGATTTCCCATACCCGAGATAGGGTGAAACTGTCTTCTCCGGCCATGTCTTTTTTTGCGGCTATAACAATGTTTTTGGCAATTTTTTATAAGCTTTTATTTACCTTGCAGAAAATCTGACTAGCTCGGAACTAGCGTAGAACTAGACCTATTGCGGACAGTAGTAGTTCTAGCTCAATGCCCAAGATATGCTTTCAACTGTCCAGTTTTACATGGCGATGTCATTGGCGGAGGCAATTGTCGCACAGTGCATTACTTTACAACTAGTTTTTAACCAGTTCCGTTTTGGACAGTTTTTTTTATAAGGAAACGCTTTTAGGATTCGAATTTTGGATATTTTTTCCGTTTTTCTTTTCTTTTACAGACTCCATATATGCTACATATTTTATAAAAAAAATATTGTAAGCGGCACCCAACAATTTAATCATTAAATCTGAAAACTCCCAACTGCCTTCACCGCGATTTGAACTCGCCACCAACGTTGCTCGGAGGTCTTCTCGCTGAGCTACTTTCAAATTGTACGAGAAGTGAGAATTTGTACACTTACACCGCAAGTTCCACTGTTCCGTTCTGCAGCCGTTTTGCACAAGTTCAGAGATAGTTCTGAAATATGTAGTTCGGAACTAGCGCTTTGCCAGACTGTCTCTAAATTTTACTGCAGGGTAACTTCACTTGTATGTATGTATGTATCTTTGTATATACATATGTCCTAGAATTTCGCAATCAATATTTAACAAACATCTCGATGAGCTACAGACTTGAAACTTCAAACTTAGCTCATAGCCCGATAACAATACAATATGAAAGAAGAATTAATCCGCTACGTGGCGCAGGAGTCGAGATATTTGTAAAACCCGCCTTTACAGTCTGATTTGGTTCATATTTGGAATGTAAATTACTTAGTTGAAAAGAAATATCTCCACAAAAAATTTACCCGCTAGGTGGTGCCTGGGTCGAGATATTTATAAAAATAGTCTGATGTGGTTCATATTTAGAACATATATGTGACCTGGTCTACGGAAAGGGGGCTTAGGTGTCAAAAAATCAATTTTCACTTTTTGGTTGATTCGGATGGAAGATGAGATGCTTTTTCACGTGGTGAAAAGCAGAAAATCCTAACTTGCTTAGAAGTGTACTAAAA